TTGCACGCACTTACGTCACATGCTTTTGCAGTTTAATATGGTAGTTTCACTGTTATTTTCTGAGAGTAATAAAAAAAGGATAAGTTTTCATTCCTTGAAAAAGTATAGCTTTATTTCTTGCAAAAGCAAAACTGATCCCACAGAAGTTAAACGTCACACACACACACACACATTTTCCTTATTTTGAGTTTTACAAAGCCCTGCAGAGTGGAGGCCTTGAAAGAGGCTTATGGTTGGGTCACTTCAGCAGGATTTGGGACAGGCCTAGAATTCCTAAAGCCTGTTTGTGGAAGCTGGGGGAAATCTACTCTATATGGAAGATGTAAACTCTTTTCTACTAGAATTTTATTCCTCATGCTGTTGTATTTTCGTCCAGATGAACTGTGAATTTTCTGCACTAAGGCTGTGGATTTTTTAATGTCAACATTCATAAAACAGCGAGACGTGCACATTATGAAAGTTTTGTCAACATTTTTTCCTAAAAGTGTAAACATAAAGGGAAGATACAGTGCTTTAGCCCACAGCTGAACTTTAGCTTTTGAAGGGCCTTAGATCAAATAAGACAATCTTGTTAAATAACCCTTTGAAAAAGCTACAGCATCAGAGGTTAGGGTATGGATTTGTCTTGTTTAGGATGCCATGGATTTAAAGATATCATACAGCTCAGCTGAATTTTTGTGTGTGTGTGTGTGTGTGAGTATAAGAGGGAATGAGAGAGTAAATATTCATTAATGAATGTTGATTTGCAAATATTTATACTCCTTTTTAACAAAGGGCAAAGGTTTCCAGTCTCCTATTTTTTGTTTTTATTTTTTGTTTTTCTGTTCGTCACAAGCCAAATCCATTTGTACCTCTCACCCTCAGTTTCCACTGAAATTATTGGAAGCTGAGGATACCAGACAGTCTCTGCTTCAGGGTAAAGGAATTTCCAGAAATGCCTCAGTTGTTTCTATTTCCTTGTGTACAAGTGGCTGTCAGTTTTCATCTCCTTCCACCTGAGAGTCCTGATGTGCTCAGAGAGCAGGTAGTGAGCAGGAGGGCACTGCGGGTTCACAGCGCACCAACACCCCGGCAGTGTCCGCCTGAGAGCTCCAAAATGTGCCACTGGGAGCCTCAGAGACCTTGTTTGGCCGTCGAGGCCAAATGAGGTTGTGATTTAGGAGCTGTTGTGAGCAGCAATACAGAATTGTTAGTGCTTCCCTCCAAAGGCACAATGCTGCGTTAGAGACTTGTGCTCATTTATTTCTCTTTTCCAGAGACACTCAGTTCGATGCCTGTTGCTGTTCTCGGCTGGGAAATTGAGTAAATATGTAGTTGTCACACAGATATAATGCAAATATCAAAATTCACTTGTGGAGTATATTGTTGCCTCACATAAATCCTAGTTTTTTTTTCTTCATTATGGATCTATAGTGGAACTCCAAAGACAGAAACATGCTGGAGGGCAAGTCAGGTATCTGGAGCTTTATCATGGGAATTCAGGGCAAAGCTCAAACATATTTCATACCTGAATCTGTGTCCCCTTAGGTTTATTGAAAATGTAGGTTTTTGTTCAATAGAATGTCTGTGAACGTTTCTGAACAACTGTAATAGAGGAGATTAAGAGGGGAGGTTATCTGCCTGCTTGTTACCAGCCGCTATTGACGTCTCTTGTTTTGGTCATAGTATCTCTGAATGAGAGAATTTTGCTTGAAGTTTAAAATTCTAAAGTTTGGTTTACAAACTTTGACGTTCTAAAGTTTAACTTTAAACGTGACTGGTAATTCAGAAGTGATTGCCTTTTTCAGACAAACTGCAAGCCTTGGGCAATCGATAAAATGTCTCTGTACTCCAATTTCCTATCTTTAGTTAGTGTACTCTTACTCTTTGTGTAGCAGGAGTATTGTGAACATAAATTCCTTAAAGTTTTGGGGTGCAGCTGCATATTTTTCTGAAATATATAATTGTATGTCTATGGTGCATTGTGCAAGACTACTCAAGAATGGCCCAGTTTTTTGGAAAGCAGTTATCTTGGTAATTTTATGTCATGTTCTTGCAGTAATGTGGATACACCATTACTCCTACCCCAGTTTGTAGAGGTAGATGAAATTAATTTTTATTAAAAGAGAAGCTTCAGGTTTCTGTTTTCTTTTAGGTTTTGGATTTGTTTGTTTGTTTTTAGTTACAGTCCATTTTTCAAAAGAGAAATTAGATTTCATTATATAAAACCAACCCAACTTGAAACAGCATTTCAGAGACCAGCGCTGTAATATGGAAAAAGAGTTAGTCATGAAACCTGGTGTTGTTTTGAAAATGTGAAGTGTATGTATGTTGCCACTTTCCAGCTCTTGTAAAACTTGTAGATTAAAAATATTAGCACTTTTTAAGTATGGACTTTCAGGCTTGCTTAAGTGTAGACTGGAGAAATTAGGGCAGCAAAAAGTAAATAGATTAAAAATATGGTATTCACTGTCTCTAATTGTTTTTCCTCAGTGAGGGTGAACATGATCAAGTAAATACATTCCACAGCTAAATGTCAGGAATTGAGTAGGATGCAAAAATATTCCACCTTAGAAGAAAAATATCTCTATCTTATATCTATCTATCTTAGAAAATAAAGTTCACAGTGTTTAGAATATGATAAGATTCAAAGGGACTCTTTGCAGAAAGAGTCAAATCATCTTAAAGGTTTGAGGAGCAATGTAATTGTTAGAACTGTTTAAGTTTTGTTACAGCAACATAAGGAAGTAATTTCCTGTGCAGGTAAACTCCATAGCCCTTTTTTCTTCTTTTTCAGAGAATCAGTATTAGATGCATTGATTGTCTGCTTCTTCATTCCATGTTGTACTTTTTACTGTTCCTTTCCAGTATGAAATGGTTCATTATTATCCTTGTGTTCTATTGATCCCATCTGCAGTGTGTTGCTTGCTGCCTGCTTCACAGGACAAGTACAGTTTTGTCTGGGGTTGTGTACATGGAGAGCAGATCATTGGCAGTGTTTTGCATTTGTAGAAGCTCTTATATAATTGCAAGTAGAAAAGAACCAAGTTATAATATAGACAGTGCTAGTAATATGACGTCCTTGACTTTAATGTAGGAACAGAGCTCATGAGGATTCCAAATGTACAAAATGCACTTTAGGTTTATGCATAATTGGAAGCTTCCAAGTACTGTTTTTGTAGCTGATCTGGACCTTTAAGTTCTGTTTATTCCAACCTAAGCTTTTGCTTACTTCAAAGGAAACCAATTGAAACAGTGCATGACACTGACAGAAAACCATAAATTACCAAAAGTCATAGGAATCTTGGCCTACAGATGAAAAGGCTGAAGCTTCTTTGACAGAGAGAATGTTTCAAACCTGTAAGCAACTTTGCATCTGCTGAGCTTTGCGTTATAAACATTTCTTACCTTTGTAATTTTCTTTTTCTCCCTTGAAGTTCTGCCACTCAGTTCATGAGGTGACTGCCAGTACTCGTAACACAGATTTCAAGTGACTTTGGGTTGTAAGATGTGGGATATCATGAGAGTACTGACTGTGGAGTCTTTATGCAGGGCAGCTGTCCAACATGGACAGTGAATTACACACTGTGTAAGTAATAGAAGATAAAGAACCTTTATTAGATCTACAATATAAGAATTTTATCTGAGTGTGTTAATATGCACCCCTTATAAAAACATAGATCCATTATTGCCTGTCATGTAGGATATTTTGTGCTTTTTTTTGACTCGGCTTTAGGAATTCACAATTTCACTTCCAAAGTATTACCTTTGAAAGGAAAATGCAAGTTTAATTTTCAGCTTTTATTAAAAATGTTGTCCACTGTACAACTGGGCCAGATTTCTGCATTAAGAACTGAAATTGTGCTGCTATACTTTTTTCTTTGCAAATATAACAGCACAGTTACAGAGCAGTTCCATATGAGTTGACAAAAACAGAAAAGGAAGAAGTGTCTGGGACCTATCTTGTAGTTTTGCAGAAGACCTGCAAAGGTTTTCTGTGTTGCTACATCTGAAATAACTAGCAGTAGGCAAACATGCATTATTATCTGGACTTTCTGAAAAGATTTTAGGGTCCTTTGAACACACAACTACATTTCAGCAAAAGGTGTTTTTATTAAGTAGTTACTTTAATGAATTACTGATTTACTTTCTAATAAGAAGCTGATATTTTAATATTTTTCTTCCTTTTTTTCCCTGAAGAATATTGTGGCAATGTAATAGATGTGTACTTCTAGCTGTTGCAATATTCATTGAAATTCACAGAACATTAGCAAAAGTTTGAGATTTGCATGTTGTCTGGCCCTTCCCTTCTGTTTCAGATTCAGTTGAACTAAAGACACACATCATATGATGTGTTTGTCATTTACAGTGCATGAAGAGAAGTATTGATAACAAGTGTAGAGTGAAGCTGTAGACACAAAACAATGAGCTATCTTTGCTCTTGTGTCTTTCTCTAAAAGTTCAGAATATTCTTTTGAATGAAGATTGAAGACAGAGTTGTTCTCCCCTTTGTCAGTTAACAGTGGATAATTATTATATACAAATACATTATTTGTATGTTTTAAGAAATAATCACTAGTAGCCTTTCTTAATTTGAGTACTTTGTATCACAGTCAGTTTTTTGTGGTTATTTAGCACAATGTTCTTTCCCTTCCCTATTTCTTTGATGAGAAATTACTATATTCTATCAACTTACTGGTCTGCAAGTGTAAGTTCATAAGGTGTTTTGAACACTGCAGATGGTGTCACTGTTATCAGCATTAGCCAGAAGCTGCTCTTTTTTCCCATTCTTCTCAACAACATCCAGGTAGTCAGTACCCCATAGATTTAACAAAATACTCTGATATATCTATGTGTAGACTTGTGGTGCGCTTTGTCACACACAGTCCTGTCTGTAGTACTAGAAGCTCTTCTAGTTTTTAGTCACACTATATGTCCATGTGTCGTTGATTATGTGTATATGAAACTACCTATATGTTACAATTTTTAAAATACTCTCTAATTTTTTATTTACATGACAGCCCAAAACAGCTCCGAAAAGGACATTTGGATCCATTACAAATGATCAGGTAGGGAGTGTTCAACAAGAAGGTTTCATTATCTGAGAGGCTGTGTATGTAAATCCACTAAAAAGGATGTTATGAAAATGGAATAAGGTGACAGAGATCCTTATTGCCCTGATGCAGAATCTTGTGATCAGGGCCAGAGCCTCTTTAAAGCTTTTTTATTTCTCACTCCCATCCTTCTGTAGTACTGGAGACATCGATGTAGCAGATTATTTCTACCAGTCATTTTAATGGCCAAAGGTAGTCTATAACTGTTACTTATATCTTATGCTTTTCCTATGGACTCATACCCTTCCCAGTGTGAACAAATCCTTAAGATCACTGGGATAATGTGGTGACTGAGGTACAGTTCAGTCCAAATAGAAATCTATCCTAATGGAAATTTTAACTTCACTGAGGTTTTAAGGATGATAGAGCCATTTACTTCAACATCATGAATTTAATCCTGAAGGTTTTTCTTCATGTTTCTTGTTTTAGCTCTCAATTTCTTTGCTCATGATGGAGAGAATTAGATATTTATAATCTTAAAAATATATTTCTTGAATGTTTCATTTTTTTGAGTGTTCAGAATGTGAGAAATATCTATTCTCAGAAAATGGGTTTGTTAAATTATCCCTTAAACAATGTGAAATAAGCTTGCTTGCATTAAGAGAAAGTCTGCTTCTCTGTAATATTTTTTTATGGTTTAAAAAGGTATGTAAACCTGTAATGAATAAGAAGAAATATTCATGGATAATATTTTCTTCCATAGAAAATTATTCAAGTGTTAATAATGAACTTAGAAGAGATCTTTGCATTCCTTTTTGTTTCTCCAGTAGTTTATTGCTAGTGATGGGGAACTAAAGCATTATATTTTATATCAAATTTATATGCTATAATGAAAAATACCTTTACCATATTTTATAAGAAAAGCAGAGGTGGGTTGGGTATGCAGATGTAGGGCCACATGTATTGTAAGTCTGTATGAAGTGTTTGTTGTAGTTGTGGGATCTAATGACAGAATAATCAGTGCCCATTTGTCAACTTGCATACACATAAAGAAGTAAAAGAGAGCTGACAGGTTGTTTTTACTGTGACTTCTGTCACTTTTTCCCCCCCTGGAATCTATGTTAAAGCACAGAATATATAATTTATAATTTCTCAGTAATTATGAAATTTATTGCAAATAACTGCTTGCCAGATTGAATATGAGAGGAAAACTCATGCTCTGCCTTCATGGAGATCAGCATAGAATTACCATTCTAAAATTTACCCTAATTGGTTCAAAATGTATATCTCGATTTTGAAACAATTTGCAGGGCTTATATTTTCATGCCTGCTGCTAAAGCAGCCAAAACTGTATTTGTTTTATTGCTTCAAAATGTGTTCCAGTTCACTTTATACTGTCCCTAGTTGCAACTTAGTGTTGTCACAAATTCTGTGCAAGTGGCACAGCAATTTTTGATATGTGGGTGAATAGTTCTTTCCCACGAAATAAATGACTACTCATGTAGGGTCAAATTCTGGCTTTGAGAAAACAAATCAATGATAGAGTATATCCTCACACAGGAGTGTGTAGAAGCTATAAATGCTTTCATTTAATAGTGGGTAGCAAGATACAGCAAATACAAATCCTTTACAAGTAATGAGAAATCAGGAACCTTGCACTCTTGGGAACATTTTCTTTTGCTTTGTTCTTAAGTGTCTTAAACCACTTTAGAACACACCAGCTCCAAGCACTGAACCTGGTCTAGTGGAAGGTGTTCCTGCCTGTGGCAGGGGGTTGGAATGAGATGATGTTTAAGGTCCCTTCCAGCCCAAACCATCTATGATTCTATGACAGTTACATGAGTGAAGGTGAAAGACAAGCACAATAGGTAGAGAAAGAACCAGACTGAGCTCGCTGGTTCATTATTACAAATATGACACCTAAAAAGAAAATCCTAATTAGTCCATAACTTTATCAATCCTTTCTTTTTCTGGTCATCTCATACATTCAGATTTAGTCATTTGCATTCCAGCTCTGTCCTCATGGAAGATGTTTAGAAACTGGCTTTGCATCATTTCTTCCTTTGAAGGGTGAGATGTGAGAAGAAATGATAATTCTGATATTCTTAATGCCTGTTTGTCTGAAGAGACAGAAGAAGAGGGAATTTAGTTCTAGATTCCAATATTGATTTTAGCAGATTTGTCAACACTAGTGTTTTAAAAGCTATGTTTGTGCAATATATGTAGCATTTGGGCACAATTCCAGAGGTGTTCAACAAACCCCATGAAAAATATTGATTATTTTCAAATTGATCTCACAGTTCTGTGACGTTTTGAAATGGAAATAAATCTTCTTTTCTCACTGGGATTGTAATTTTCACAACAAATATAAAATATGCCATGATGAATACAGAAATAGTTTTAGGGAGTTTTTAAACATATTTCTAATAAACTGTTATGCCTTAGTTTTGTCTGTGCCATCTGACACCTGAATTATGCAGTAAGCCCTTTTTCAATGATAGTGTGGGGTGTTTTATGCTAACAGTTTTAGATCATGTCCAGACTTGCTCCACAGAGAAACATTCCCTTTATCTTTGTTGGTTTCCTTGAAATTAAATATTGGTGTAGGTCCTCCAGTGGCTTCATTCCTCATCTCTACACTCACTCATACAATAGAGAAACTGAATTACATCTGTCTAGGAATTTAATAACTTTTCTGTAGAAATAGAGAAACTGCATAAAAAACCCAACCACCCCACCACCACCCACCCACCTTTCCCCCTTTTTCTAATGTATCTGTTTATTGCCATATTTGCTCTGAAACTTTCTTAAGGCTCCAGAGCTTAAAGCAAATCAGATATTGCAAAATAAAGGTAGCTATAAAAATGTATATTCCTGTATAGGATATTTGTAAGTATATATTCCATGACAATTTCAGAAACAAAAAAAGGATGTTTTTCTGTTTAAATATACCATCAAGCTAAAGTATGTTCTTTCTGTGTCTTGTAGGGTCAAAATGTATTTGGTCTTGATATAACTGAGACACCCGAGGGAGATAAGTGGCCTCAACTGATTGTCCAGCAGATCCTGGATAGGGAGCAGAAGGATACCTATGTGATGAAAATAAAAGTGGAAGATGGTGGAAGCCCCCCAAGGTCCAGCACTGCCATCCTGCAGGTGACAGTGACCGATGTGAACGACAACCGCCCGGTGTTCAAGGAGAACGACATCGAAGTCAGTGTCCCCGAAAATGCTCCAGTGGGCACCTCTGTTTCTCAGCTCCACGCCACTGATGCAGACCTGGGCTCAAATGCCCAAATCCACTTCTATTTCAGCAATCAGATATCCAGTCTGGCCAAAAGGCTGTTTGCCATCGATAACACCACTGGCCTCATCACTATAAGGGAACCACTGGACAGGGAGGAATCTCCTGTACACAAATTAACTGTTTTGGCAAGTGATGGCAGTTCAACTCCATCAAGAGCAACAGTGACTGTTAATGTCACAGATATTAATGACAATGTCCCATCGATAGACACGAGATACATCATCAATCCAGTGAATGGGACAGTGCTTTTGTCTGAGAAGGCTCCCCTTAATACAAAAATAGCATTGATAACAGTAATGGACAAGGATGCTGATCAGAACGGAAAAGTTACTTGTTTTACAGATCATGATGTTCCTTTCAGGCTAAAGCCAGTGTTTGATAATCAGTTTCTCCTGGAGACAGCCACGTTTCTAGACTATGAAGCAACAAGGGAATATGCCATTAAAATAGTGGCTTCAGATTCAGGGAAACCTCCCTTAAACCAGTCTGCAATGCTCCTGATCAAAATTAAAGATGAGAATGACAATGCCCCAGTTTTTACGCAGCCTATCATAGGCCTTTCCATCCCCGAGAACAATGCTCCTGGTACTCAGCTGACCAAGATAAGTGCTACTGATGCTGACAGTGGGCGGAATGCTGAGATCAGCTACATCCTGGGTTCAGATGCACCCCCTATTTTCAACCTTGACCGCCGAACAGGAATTCTGACAGCAGTGAGAAAGCTGGACAGAGAAAAGCAAGACAGGTACTCTTTCACTGTGCTGGCTAAAGATAATGGGATGCCACCTTTGCAGACCAATGCTACCGTGACAGTGTCAGTCCTGGACCAGAATGATAACAGCCCAGCTTTCACACATAATGAATATAATTTCTATGTGCCAGAAAACCTGCCCATGTATGGCACAGTGGGGCTTATCACAGTTACAGATGCTGACGCGGGAGAAAATGCTGCAGTCACTCTCTCTATCTTAAATGGTAGAGATAATTTCATTATAGATCCACTTACTGGTGTAATAAGACCTAATATTACCTTTGATAGGGAACAGCAGGGGTCATATACTTTCCAGGTGAAAGCTGTGGATGGAGGAAGACTGCAGCGTTCCTCAACTGCCAAAGTGACCATCAATGTTGTTGATGTAAATGATAACAGGCCTGTTTTTGTTATCCCTTCATCCAATTACTCCTATGAGTTGGTTCCAACATCAGCCAGCCCGGGGTCTGTAGTTACTAAAGTCTTTGCAGTTGATAATGACACGGGAATGAATGCGGAGCTCCGCTATAGCATCATAGGTGGGAACTCCAGGGGCTTGTTTACAATTGACCAATTAACAGGCAATATTACTTTGAAAGAGAAGGTGATTACATCAGATCATGGCTTGCACAGACTGGTGATAAAAGTCAATGACCTGGGGCAGCCCGAGTCTCTTTACACAATAGCTCTTGTGCATCTGTTTGTGAACGAGACGGTCACCAACAGCTCCTACGTGCAAGAGTTGGTGCGCAGGAACATGGAAACTCCCGTGGGCCAGAACATTGGGGATGGTGAGATAACCCCCCAGACCAACGACTATGTCAAGATCATCATTGCCATTATTGCAGGCACCATGACAGTTATTCTGGTAATTTTTGTTACCGCTTTGGTCCGGTGCCGCCAGACGCCCAGGCACAAGGTTGTCCAGAAAAACAAGCAGAGTGGTGAATGGGTTTCCCCAAACCAAGAGAACAGGCAGATCAAGAAAAAGAAGAAGAAGAAGAAGCGCTCCCCAAAGAGTCTTCTCCTCAACTTTGTGACTATTGAAGAATCTAAGCCTGATGATCCTGGCCACGAGCACATAAATGGCACTTTAGACATTCCCGTAGAGCTAGAAGAACAGACTATGGGAAAATATAACTGGGCCACCACACCAACCACATTTAAGCCTGATAGCCCAGATTTAGCAAAGCATTACAAGTCTGCTTCTCCACAGCCTACCTTTCAAATTAAACCCGAGACTCCTGTACCCCCCAAGAAGCACCATGTCATTCAGGAATTGCCTCTAGATAACACCTTTGTGGTGGGCTGTGACTCGCTTTCCAAGTGCTCATCAAGCAGCTCGGACCCTTACAGTGTTTCTGAATGCAGCTGTCAAGGAGGCTTCAAGACCCCAGGCCCCATACACACCAGACAGGTAATGGAATTTTAAGGTGCTTTCTTCCTCCTTCTCTTCTCACTTTGCCATTCCTATAACTCTAGCTCGAACTGCTGCAAAACAAGTTCTTCTGCAAGGATTAAAACTTTGAGAGTTCGTGTTCGGTGGAGGCATTGTAAAGTAAACAATTTGAGATTCCTCAATGATAAGGATGAGAACAATAAGCAAAGGAATGTTGGCTGTGATGCATCAGGCAGGGAGTGACTCCTCTGGTGGGTCTCCTGACTGCAGATGGCAGCATGGCACTTCCTGCTTCACTGCCGGGCCTGGAGCAGCTCTGCCAGGTTGGAAGGGGTTGTGGTGCTGTCCTCTGTAGCATGGTGTGCTCAAGGATCAAAGTAATCCTGGCCAGGTGGAAGGCAATAAAGCTTTACAGGATCTGATAAGTGGTTCTCAATATTAATGGAGTCTGGAACTGCAGCCTTCATTTGGGCATAGCTTTGCTTCGAGGTCTCTCAAAAGCAGGCAAGGATTTTCCTCTGAGAGTTTCAGGGCCATTTTCAGACCAGACTCGTACTTAAATCTGGTGGAATGACACAGTCCACAGGCAAAGTTAGGAAAAAATTAGAAGCATCAGCATAATTGCTCTCACTTATTTGCTGCTCTGCCCGATAAACCAGGTATTAGCTTCTCAGAAATTCAGTACAACAAAGGAAATGTCTAATGAATCCTCAGCTTAAATTGAAAACTAAATTGAGGACCAAAGTATCCTTTATTCTTCAAGACCCTTCAAGGCTTTAAGTCACTGGAAATAGAATCTATCCATATTCTGAGCAGTTTAGTAAAGTTCACTGTTTTTCTGTTTACTTCTCTTTCTTCATAAGTATCACAAAGTTTTCAGTGAAAATAATTTTCTAGTTAAGCTTTAGTTGGTCAAGGAATTAATCATTAAAGAAACATATTTCAGGAGAGTTTATTGCATTACTGATAATATATTTTAACATTATTGCTTTGTAACATATCCTCAGCATGACTAAGCCTGTTAGATTTTTTGCTCCAGCTGAGGTTTTGATTTTTTTCTGGGGACTTTGTTTTATTGCAACCACAGTGATAACAACATGCACAGAAAAAGCTGCTCATTCAGAGCAGTCATCATGTCTTTGAAAACTTCAGGATATGTTTCTTTATTTTATTCGACTTTGTTCCTTTTACCAACACAAATCTGTGTGGCAGTCTATATCACTATGTATAGCATTTAAGATTTGAGTATTTTTTATGAAAGTTATTTGAATGTATTCATTTACACTACACATTAGAAAAGCTTCTTGCCAGTTTGTTCATCTGTTTAAAATCCCCTAACTCTGAGGAGGTTGATCCTGTTTTCAACATTCCTGGAGGCCTGATCTTAGTGATTTTTCAATGGAGTTCTGGAATAGTTCCCGTGAGCAGGTTCTGCGTTGTTCTGCCATTGTCTGCTGAAAGACACTTTGTGGTGCAGTAATGCTGCCAACAAAGAAAGCAAGCTAATGACTCTCAGAGCTCCTCCTGTGTTAGTGAAAACCTAGAAAGGGGAATGGAAAGCAATTCTCTTCTGCTGAAGTTGGCTGGGGAAAAGAGAATTTTCTTTTATCTGTACCTTGAAGGTCTATGACAGGGGCTTCCTATCTTGAAAAGCAGAATAGAACTGTGCTTTTTTAATACTCAGTACCTGATATTAGCTTATCTTCATATAGCTGTACCTGACATGGTTAGTGTGATATGCTGAATATATAAGAAAAGAGATTAATGTTACCATTTTTTCTGATTTGGCTAAAATTACAGCTATCCTTTTCTGCATGAAAGTGATCACCTTGTTGAGAAAGTGTAACTAATCACTGTCAGTGGCTTTACACTAATTTGGAAACAACATTTACCATTAAACACAAGAATTTAAATTTTTATTATTTAAATAGAAGTAATTTCATTAATGCATTTATTTACATAAATTGGGCAAGAGAGTCCATTAGAGGAAATCCTTTGTGTTGGACTGTGACAAAATGAAAATTGTGCTTCATGATAAGTAAAAACAAGCAAAGAATTTCTTAAACCTCAAAGGATCTTTTAAAAGTCAATCTTTCTCCTAACTTGGCTCTATATGTTATAGTCTGGATAGTGTTATCTCCTGTGGAGTTATAGAAGGTGACTCAGGACAGGTTAATGGAGAGTTGTCACTGTTAGCCAGTGAAAAAAAAAGAAACAAATACAAATAAAAATAAGCTTGTGGCACAGTGTTCCAGCTGTTGTGCTCTCCTACCACCCTTCAGCCTTGGAGATCAACAGGATCTGAATTTTCAGAAAATTTTAGGACAAGCTGGAGAACTGAAGGATAGTAAGTTCAGTTAAAAAGGGTGATGTGCCAGTTTGAAAAGTGAAAATAAGATCTGAGAGAAAATATTGTACTTTAATGTTAACAATTACCATAATGCAACCCTTTTACAAGCCAAAGGTTCTCTGAAGGAGCCTAAGGAAGATTCCATTCACTGTGAAGTATCTCTTCAGTTTATAGTGGGGGCTGATATCAGCAGACTACACATCTGAACTATTGTTAGTTTTGAACATGCAAGACTTTCTACTCAGATATTTGAAATGATATTGAGTTACATCTAAAAATATATGTTTTCTTCCGAAGCTCTAAATTTTGTGTCTGTCTGAATGGTATTGATTCAGGTCTTTAAAGAAGGGAAATTATGTCTTTGCTTTGCTGCTAAATTTGTCTAAGTGATCTATAAAATGACAGAAAGTCATTATAACAGTTGTACTCAAAAAGCATGAAAGCAAAGATGGAAAGGTTTTTCTACTAAAAACCCCAAAATATCTTGTTAGTGGTCATGTGGGCAAATAAATACAGCAGTGCCACAGCTGAAATTTTTATGGAGAAGGAATTGGAGACTCCTGAAGCAGCTGAGGACACATTGAATCAGGAACTACAGGAAACTGAAGAGGGAAAAGTATGGTCATAATGCAATAACCCCTAAGAGAGAGGTCAAGCTTCTGCTGTATTTGTGAGGAAGGGCAAGGGGCAGAGGCACTGATGTTATTTTGAAGTTACCTAGTAGGAATTAATAAATACTAATACAATAGACCTTCAGAGTAACATGCTTTCTTTTGGGATAGAGATAATTCTTTTAAAGAAGTTTTACCAAGTGATAAACTGCGAAGGGACTTACTCATAATAAGGTTTTTCAAACTAGGATACCTGGAGTCTTATAAAATTCAAACTGACTTTCTCTGTCATCAAGTTTCCATTGTTTTATTAGTTGTGGGACTCATAGAGATATGTACTTCTTTGGTGAAGAAACAACACCTTTAAAGTTTATTTGTCTGCAAGCTTTGTAAAAGATCAGTTATTTCTGACCTTTACCTCAGTGGGAGCAAACTGATTGAAGTATTTCATAGTGACACAAATCTTCAAATTCTCTTTCCATTTGCACAGTGATGATGAAAATAAGGGAGGATTTTTCCAGTCTAGTTTTCATGTAACATAATTTCAAAATCTGAAATCTTTGCTCAAGTACTTAAATCAGCATTCAGACAATTGACAAGCCAGTCTAGTCAAAACATACATAATTATAGAGCACAGCATTATCTGTGGCAGCTTGGTTCAAAGAAGATGTAGGTACAAAGATTCATTAAAACTTCCCATGCATTCTCCTTGTTCTTGTCTCTTTCTTTAAATTAATGCTATTTCGGGTGTTCTTTTCATTTGGAAATAGTACAATGCACACTACAGGAACAGGAGAAATCTTTGAAAATTTACACCTGGTCACTCAGGAAGGGTCCTGAGATCTTTTGGATGGTCATTTTAAACTTTTAACTTCAGAACAACTTTTTTCTGGCTTAGTGATCATGAAGAAGTGCAAGTGTCCAGGAAAGCAACGCCTCTTCCACTGGTAGAGCTGGAAGGTGCAATGGTGCTCTCAGTCTATGATTCCATGGGTTTTTGGTGGTTCTCCCTGCTTCACACTGGACTCTGGTCTGGATGTTAATTTAGTTCCACTGCTAGTGCCATGTTTGGGAGGTTGCTGAGGGAGGAAACAGGCATGCAGATTGATTTTTCTCATATTTATTAATGCAAGTCTTCATTAGTAGATTTTAGCTGGCAGGATTCTATCTGTGAACTTATCCATACTTATGAATAGAAACTTCAGATGACACAGTGATCTCTGCTGAACTGGTTTCTTAGAAGCTGACTGGAGATAGACATTGCATTCCTCACAGAAATCTGAATGGGAAGTAGACCTCATTTAAAATACATTGCATTTTAGGGCCCCACTGTCTCAATTCTCTGATTCTATCACTGGCTGCTTAAACCTGCTTAGAGTTATGGTATATTTGGTTTTCTGATTTAAAATGTGGTGAAATGTCATTATAGCTTCCCACTCACTGTGAGAAAAGTGTGCTTAGGCTATGAATTGAAAGAATATTGCACTGTTCCTGAAACTAATAGCTCTGAAAACTCACATGTTCTGTGAGTCTTTAGCTGCAGGATTTATTGTTTTGTGTAATAACAGTGAGACTAGTGAATTTAATTCAGTATCCTGGAATCATCAGGAGGCAGGGCTGATGCTTCTGGGATGTAAAAGGTTATCGACATAACACTGGTATTTTGCATTGACAGGTACAGAGTCAATTATGCTCAAAAAACATTTTCTTCTAAATATCAGCTGCATACCTGTTGGTATAAGCCCTTCCTAAGAGCCATTTCAAAATCGATTACTATGATCCTAAATATTCTCATTATTTTATCTTAACTTTCTGACTAATAATTTTGCTGCTAATTCTGATCTGCTGCCATGTATACACATTTCAGAAAAAAACCTGAAATTTGCATCTGGAGAAGAGATTTCTAACTGAAGTATAAATCAAAGTCTGTGAGTCGGAAGTTAGAGATCAGTTATTTAACTGTGCATCACTACTGAAGTAAAGCTGGTCAAGAAAATGTTTTTCCTCTGTAAGAAAATTTTCAGAGTTGTTCTTTTAATATCTTTCACTAGAAAAGC